GCGACCACACAAAAGGCCACACCATCTTGGTCTTCATATCTTCGATCAAAATATACTAATTTTATTTTTCGTTCACAACTAGGTTTTATAGACTACCAGTAAATCATTTATATATGAAGTGTATTCACTTAATTTCGTTTAAGGTCGTAAGGGGACTTGTATTTAAATTTTACCACAATGCTATGAGTAGAGCCTAAGCTTGAAATGAATTTCCCAAAGTTTCGATTACTACAGCCACCACAGAATGTAAAATGGGAAAGTGTCTTGCCTTCCTTAAATTCACATCTGCCTTTTGATGCAAGGGCATTCGTGGGAATGTGGAGTGGCGGTTAAAATGTCAAGATTATATGCTGTACTGACAGTTCAAATCCCGCTGTGGATGTTGCAAACACCTATGCGAGGTCAGAACTGCAGTCAACCCTGATGAGAATACCTTTTCGGAAAGCAAGGCTATGTAAAATTTAACGGAAACGTAAGCATTACTCATAGCATTGTAAAAAAATTCAAAAAATAGTCCCCTCATCACGAAATAGGGTGAATATATTTCATATGTATAAACAAAATGCTCTCTTCACTTATCCTAGATTCGTTTGATACAAATGGCTCTTTCTTCGACGTTGATTAAATTAACTTAATCTTTGGGGAATGAGACGTTGATTCGCATTGTATGGGCACCTTTCAATGTCCTTTCTTCATGCTAACAATCATTGATCCTAATTCTTGTTTCTTATTACTTTGCATTCTCGAATTTTTCAATTGCATAGATCCACACGTTTATGTCGAAGCCTTTCGCACACTCTTCAAATACACCATTTTCACACTAGTCAGGCTCATTCGACTTTATTTTTTTTTGCAAATTTGGATCAGTCCCTGAATCTCTAAAGGCACTGATGCCGAACTATTTCTCGGGAGGGACGCATAAACGACGCTGGAGAGCGCAGCATGTTCATATGCCAAAACAGGAAATAAAAATGGTCTTGGAGTCTGCCGCAGCCGTCTCAGTGAAGCTCAAACGGCGTAAGCATAAGGGCAAGACGAGAAGACCAGCTCATTTCAAAAAGGTACGATGTATTCCTAGACTCATTATTTTAATGTCCAATTACCTTTAACGAAATCAATGTCATAAAGCACATCAACTTAGACGGCCAGAGTAAGCTCTCTTAGACTAGTACTCGCTTTTTAAAAAATGATAGTCAGCAGAGAAAGGGAATGAGCTCAATATGATATGGAAAATTAGAACTGTTATGAAATAATTTTTACATTATTGGTATATATCCCGTCATGCTAAATCTGCTGCAGTCTCATAATTAAACCATTTTTTTCACAATTCCTTCCTAGGTTTATCTATTTTCCATAACAACTGTATTCACCCTAGAGCTTATAGTTGAATTTTCCTACGTTATGAGAAAGCACCAATGTCCTCAAATTTATCCGATTTTAAGTTTTTGTACCGAATGGACTGCATCTCTAACCTTGTTCTGATCACATCATCATCCCTAATCGGAATTGGATGGTCTAGTCAGTTTTCGATATTTTGTAAATGCACCGTGCTATCAAGGATGCAACTGGGTCATAGGACAGTCGTGAATTTAAGAGCAAACTATCTCGTATTAATTATATTATTAGTAGATGAAGCAGGCTTGTCTGCCATTACACTCAACGGTGCTAGTTACATTTATGTAGAATATGCTAATGAATACAATGATTCGAGGCAAAACTAGGTCAAATTAATTGATATCGTGTGGCCTACCCGTATCATTGTGTGAAAACTCAAATATCAGCCTTATGCAAACTATAGTTAGCATTTTAATTTTTTTGGTAGTATTCAATCCTTCTTCGTGAATATACTTATCTTCAGTTTATCTTATTATTTTCAGAAGAAATGTAACAATCCGCTCTTGTCATTCGGCCGGAAGAAGAGATAGTTTATTTGAATTAATTAAACTCCTTGTAACCACTTTTTCTCTTATACAGTCAAAACATACTCGACAATTTATTCTTGCTCATATTCGTGTTTTCGCATTTACAAATATCCTAAAGTTATGCAAGTTAGTATGGTTCGTCACGCCATACTCAATCAGTCTTTTTTTCTGAGTACGCCTCCACTACACCAGCATGATTGCCTGTTACAACCTACAGAAAGGCATAAGATGAAAAACGCAATTAAGTGTGTAGATAAGTGTTTCGATTTATATAAAAGCGTATACCGTTATTTGCATTATATTTTGTATATTATATAGTTGCATTGGAGTAGCTTTGATTTCATGTGAAGAGGCGAGCTTAAGAGATTCAAGTTGACTTCATTTTAAGCTGAAGGAGCACTGTCTGCGCTGTGATTAGATTTACGCCAATAAGCCATCGGCTCGCTGTCCGATGATCTCAATTAATCTCTGTTGAGCTTTGTTCCGTCATATGACGGACATCGTTAAAGCAGGACACTACTTTACAATAATTCACCAACTTTAAAGGCAAGGAAGATGGCCAGTTGAAATCTTACCTACTTTTTATCGCCTAATTAGTGAGTTATCTCGTGATTTTCCCGGCTATCCTATGCCTTCCTGTCATTCTTGTTGGAAGGTGAAGGGGCATGTGCACGCGGTCACGATCACTGAGTTACAATGCTTTTACGTTAATTCCCATTCTAAATTATTTCAGAATTAGAGAGTGAACAAAGCTTATTTACCAGAGGCCTAAGTGGATGCCACTCTACTGCTGTAGCGGTGTAGTTGGCTGTGTGGCGCGTCCCACTTTGCCGGCATAGACGAACTGTAGGGCCGCTCTCCGAGATGCTTCGGTGAAAAAAGCGCAAATCATATATTACTGGATCAGCTATTTCTGGAGCCTGATGTCCAGGAGCTCCGACTAACAGATATCGAGCGCAAGGGCTAAAGAGCAATTGAGTGCTGGGAGTCAGCAGATCGGGCACGGCTCCGCCACCACAAGCACCAGACGCCCCGGAGCCAATTTGGAGGACATGTCGTGGTGGACTTCGCAGATCCCAGACTCGAACACAATCAAGAGGAGCGCAGCTAGCGAATAGGCTGTAGCGATCACTGTAGCCGGTATATGAGTCAGTACGTTCAGTGAAACTATGTTCCGACAAGGTGTCCTGAAAGCTAAGAAATGGTGAGCCCTAGTGAAAAATAAGAACAAAATACCAACAATATCTTATCAAATAGGCTGGAGTGATATCTCGACGAGGAACAGATAATGAAGTCAAGATTAAGCAAAGTGACGAAGCTCAAAATTACATATGGGCGGAATCGGCTGGGTTAATTTTTCTGATCGGCTAGTGTCTGCAGAAGAGGTTTCTGGGAATAATGGGTGTACGGATATGGCTTTTAATACGTTGTCGCAATCTTGTTGGGATGACACTAAGATCTTAGAATGTGCCCAGCGCTGCCCTAGTCGCCATGACAGCAACGTTAGGTACTTAGTCATTCTGGATATTTGAACAAATCAAGATACGGTGAAGTGTAGATTGGGAATAAACAATAGGAGTTGGTATTATCGTGTGGCGGTAAAGCAATAGGAGCAAGGAAAGGGAAGAAAAGAGGCTATGCAAAAAATTATTCAATACTTTGCTAGTTGCTAGGACTGACTAGTTAAAAAAAAAGAGGTCTAACCAACCGCGTATAGACAATAGGGAGTCATACTATATCTAAAGCGACACCATCTTGATCCTCACACTCAATCAATATTGACTTATACTAGAGAAAAATCCGCCGCATTTCCATCATCCTTAAATTGGCCAATAACCGGGCAGGATATCCTACGTCTCTAGATTGGCGCACTCCATGTAGCTGTGATTGTAGGTTTGTCCGAGTAGATCCTCGGAGCACTGCCCTGCGACCCCGACGAACCGTGCTGAGCATTTTGTTCGTCATGTGATTGACATCCCCAGAACAGTACGCCGCGCTTAACGACAATTCACCAGAACACGAAAACAAGAAAGGTGGCTGGCTGGCTGTACGGACGAAAGGTCAGCACGGATTCATCGGGGTCGCAGAGCGATGCCCCGAGGATATATTCGC